TGGTTGTCTAGCCATTGTGCCTTCAATCCTTGGGCCAAATAATACATCCACTGAGTATAGAGGCTTTAGAGTGGAGAATAATTCATCCCCAAACGAATAAACAATTTTACAGGCTATTATAAATGGAAAATGTCTCTTGAGCACCTACACATATCCCAGCAATATTCCTTTTTTGACTCTTCTAAAAAAATTAAAAAAAAGGGATATTATTTCCTCAAACGATCGAATGAGACGATCATTTTTCCAGCATCTTAAGCAATGGGTCTTATATATAAATATCACCTTAGGTCTGGAGTGAACCTAAACATGGAGCCTCATTGAGAATGTAGAAACATAAAAAAACATGACCATATTATTATTAGAGTAATCTTGACCCATAATATACTTCCCATACGTGCAGTCTTGTACCATATTCTGTTATACATAGCTTAGAAAATTTCTGTACATCACCTTGAAATTATGGTAAATGTCATGCATAATAGTCTGGATCCATAGACCATCTAATTTCACCAAGTTCTATACTTGCGCCAAATGAATATAAAACCCGTCACGACTGAGAGGGAAATATTTATATTGGACAATGTGCAAAGATATTAATAAACGCTAGTATGAACATCACCCAGCACCGGTTACAGAAATAGAAGACATGACAATTCTATGGGATTAAACCATCTTTACAAAGAGGAAGATTGAAGTAAATAGGCTTGACATAATTGTCAAATCCGAAAAGAAAAAAAATTCTTACTAATTGATATGACCAGTGGACTGTAACATAACAACCAAGGAATTTGAAAAACTGAAGGATTTGCACCAAAATTTACATGCACATGCTCCAAGTTAGTGGGAAAGGCCAAAACCGACTTTGCATTTCCCAACTCCCATCGATGGTGGAAATAATCGATATTTTTATGCTTCTACGGCAGTTTTCATGTAGTTTGCGGCCATTTTGTACTGGCCAGAGTGAGAGCCTATAGCTGGCTTCCACGAATAGGCAAGAAGATTCTATTGGCCAGCGTGAGAGCCAACAGCTGACTGACACGAATGCTAACTAGCATGCTAGCATGCAAAAACTAAAAAATCGATAGCTGCATTCGTCACAAGTAGGAAAAATTTAAATCTGAATGGCACTTTACTCGAATTGGCTCATTCGCTTGCTTAAACTCAACGTTGATTCTGATTCCGCAGAACTGGTTTGGGTGTGAAAAAGTATTTGTTGTTAACATTCTTTTTTCATTCGGTTTTTCCAGCTACGAGTCCTTTTTTAAAGCTGATCGTTTTGTGTTCATTTTGTTTAGTTCTTTTTTCGTAACAGATTTAATGTTTAGTATAGAGCTTAGAAAAAATTCTCAGTGTGAGATAGGCAAGAAGTAAGGCATGTAGCAACATCAGAACGGCAAAGGCCACTCCTTTAAATGCAAGGAAGGGCAAAAATATTTTAAGTCAAGTGATAGCGATTGCTGTATGAGTCGTACGATTTTTGAATCAAGCACGGGCAACGCCGTGCCAAGCTGCTAGTATAGTCTCACGGGATCGAGATTTTTATATGGATGCCACGCATGGCACAGAATCCATTCAGAAATACCTAAATTGCCGCTTGTATTCAGCCTCTTTCACCGATCGATACTTAAAAATAGCTTCAAGCTTGTAGGGCTCATTATGGACCATACTTCTTCGAATCTCGGGGTTTGGCGCTACAGAAACACAAACAAAGAACTGTGCTAAACAACAGAAACCATACTACTTGATGTCTTCCAATATCGGCAACAACTAAAATGGCTGGCACATGTAACTCAAAGAGAGATCAATGGCATAATCAGGATGCTGACGTTCCATATGACTTCAAACAAAAGGCAACGAAGGAAACTTCTATTAATACTGATAAAGCGTATTAAGACAGACTATAAGGGGTGATGCGGCCGCAGAAATTGTCTGGCAGCAATGACTGGCCTCTCCTATTTGTGTGGCATGGCGAAGAGTCATGTTGCCAGATATAGGGTCTTCCAGCAGTGTCCTGGGTAAGACGATAAACTACATCCAACAGCAAGGTCACTGATCAGGATGTTTTGAGAAGCGTGGAAGCGCCTCCTATTTGCTAGTGTTCCCAGGTTCAACTTCACCCGGGGTGGTAGCACCAGCTGTGGACAAATATTTAATCCCCAAACTAGTGCGAAAACAATGAAAGTGGAAAAATAGGTTTTAATATCAGGAAATACATATTTGTAAAAAAAAAAAAAAAAGCAGTAAAACTCTTGTCGACATTGAAATAACCCACTGAGGTTGAAATGCCGTAAAACAAACCAAACCCAACCCAACTTATGTAGGCCTTTGTGTTGAATTTGAGACTCAGTGGGAAACTATTTTCCTAAAAAAATCATTCAGAGAAAGATTTTATAAATTTCAACCGTAACACTGGCTGCTCGGTCAATGAATGCCGAATGTTTCCTTATAAGGGAATGGCTAATATTACCATTACAGATGAGGAGAACAGATACTACACTTTGATCCCAGCCTGATGTTCAGGTGGTAAAGAAAAGTGTAACTCAAGTAATTGGCTGCTCGGTCAATAAATGCCGAATGTTTCCTTATAAGGAACCGGCTAATTTTACCATAATTCTAAGAATAACACAAGATTGTTGAGAGATTAATTTGCTCCAGTCTACTTATATTTTTCTTTGGTATTTCCTAACATTTTTTTTAAAATTTGCATAAGCAACTTTTCTTTATTAAATAAATCTAGCCATATTCCTTGGGTAAAATGAATAATCTTGGACTTAAAACTGCCGAAATTTATCAACCAATTATTATTTATTTAAGGCGAAAGTGGACCAAATTACAACGTTGATCCTTATTCTAATCTAGCCACGGATATTGTTACCTTAATAATTTGGCATTATGAGATTTCATAGGCTTCTGGTTAATGACGTGTCAAAATTTTATCATGATTTTACCAAAGGGTGTTTTCCCCACAAGGATATTTAGATATTTGCAAAAGAATACTCTCTCTCTCTCTCTCTCTCTCACACACACACACACACACACACAACTCACTGTCTCTCTTATTTATTATATATATATATATATATATATATATATATATATATGACGTCACACATTATGAAATGGACAAAGTCCGACAATTATTTTAAGACATTTATATGGTTATACGTTCTTTTTAAAGATAGATATTTAAGTAAATGCTCTGTTTATAATAAACAGTATTAAACAATATTTACCGGCCTGAATGTCCGAGAAAATTTCATAGAAAATATTCGCCCTCCAACAGGATTCGAATGTATGAGAAGATATGAATGTACGTGAGAGATTCATGGAAAATTGAAGCTTAAATACAGTAAATTCGACCTTGCTAACCGAACGCTCCTCTGTGGCCAAATCGGTAAAGGCACGTCAAGCTATGACGGTTCCGTATAGAATACAGGTTCGAATCCACACACACATATATATATATATATATATATATACAAAATAATTTCTTTGCTTAGATTAAATGTAACGTAGGTTATACTTGATTGGTTGATCTGAGTAAAGCCCACAAAACTTATAACCACCTCCCACCTTTTTCTTTTTTTCGTTAAAAAATTGTATTCTGCTTTTAAATCTAAATAAATCGTTCACTCACCAGTAATTTATCATATCCTGATGAGATGTATTTGATATGCATCGAAACACGCCTGCACTTGTGTAGCGATTTTGACATGATTTCGATCTAATATCCTAAAATAAATAAAATAAAAGGCACCGTGGAGTAATAGATAGCGGCTTGGATTGAGGAATCGGAGAGCCGAGTTCGAATTCCAGTCGAATCCATTGTATTCACTTGCGTGCTAATACCCTTGGGAAAGGTGTGAATCCGCTTCTTCTCCCTCCAGCTATGGGTAAAATAGCAGGACAGACTGGGTTCTATAGCCTTGGATGGCAACTGGTCTAGGAGAAGGACAACTCTGAATTCAAAACCTGCGGAGGGTCGTTTGGGTACCTTGTGGCACTTAGTACACCAGGTCTCTGTATTCGGCCCTTCAAAAAAGTGTGGCTGGTCCTGCACGAAATCTTCACCACTATAATCAAATCTTATGTGCTGTTGTCGGGCTGTCGGTTTCCTGGAAACTGATCTGCTTGACCCTCATACGTCGAATTCGACGGGAGAGTCGAGTATATATATATATAATACTTTCATAAATTAAAACATTATTATTTCTTAATTTGAAACTTTTTTCTATATATATATATATATATATATAGAAAAAGTTTCAAATTAAGAAATAATAATGTTTTATTTTATGAAAGTATTTATTTATTTATATATATATTTGATATTTCAAATTGTCCTCAATTTTTCATCAGAAATAACTGTTTGTTACAAATAAATTAAAATTACTGTTTGTTAGCAAGTAGCGTCCTTCGCGAGACGCGGACGTCACGTGATATAGAACGTCACTGTTCAGATATTCCTAACTTAAATCTAACTGTCATAAATATTTTAAATGTTGTTTAAATTTTTTTTTTTTCTATATCTAAAAAAAAATTGCTTAACTATTGAAATATTTATAAAGATTTAAAACACCTAAGTCCCTATTCAACCCTAGTTTATGTGTATTTAATTTTAAAATCCAATATGTTTCTTTTTTTCTGCATGTGGATGTGGAAGTAAAATCGGAATCTATCAATAAACATTTTCAGTTTTCTAATGTGTGTCCTGATTGATTGTAGTGTTTAGCTATGGGGGAATAAGGGTTGTTTTGACGTATTGTTTGTTTATAGTTATTGAAACGAAATCTAAAATTATTTCCAGACTCACAAATATATCCACTATTAGGACATATATATATATTATGGCTTAAACATTATATTTTTGTTGGAGTTGACGTCCGGTTTTTGTTTTTATTTTTTTATTTTTGTCTGTTTCTATTTTAGGAATACAATCTATAGGTTTTTGCATTCATGAATCGTAATAAAGAAAACATACCCTCCAGCAATATTCGAAGATGTACCCAGCTTTCTTAGGAAACCATTCTCTGATCCGACTGCTCGGCCACGGTGACTTTTTATCTCGGTCAGATGTCGAAAGATATTATATTCGAACACAAAGAAATTAAGGGATTTTATTTATAAAGCGTTACATTTATGACGATTTAAGGAATAATGTCGGTTGAAATATAAAATCCATAGCCAATCCCTATTGCAGATGTTCGCTCAGGCACATTTGCGTTTGCTTAACATCCACAGAGCCCACCTGTGGTTTATACTGCAACAATACTGAGCAGGCTTTAGTTACAGTTTCTTATCTTGATCAACAATTTAACCAATGCCAGCACGCTCAATCCCTCGGCCAAGATGACTTGCGGTTTTATGCAAATAAATACCACAGCTATCGACGGCCCTCAAAATTCAGTCTACCCAATTTAACTCACAAGGCTTGGGTCAACCCGTGGGATCGACCATGGTGAGACACACACACAGACAGATATATATTCGACTCTCCCGTCGAATTCGACGTATGAGGGTCAAGCAGATCAGTTCCTAGGAAACCGACAGCCCGACAACAGCACATAAGATTTGATTATAGTGGAGAAGTTTCGTGCAGGACCATCCAAACCTTTGAAGGGCCGAATACAGAGACCTGGTGCACTACGTGCCAAAAAGACCCCAAACGACACTGCGCAGGTTTTTTAATTCAGAGTTGTCCTTCTCCTAGACCAGTTGCCATCCAAGGCTATAGAACCCAGTCTGTCCTGTTATTTACCCATAGCTGGAGGGAGAGAAGGAAGATTCACACCTTTCCCGAGGGTATTAACACGTAAGTGAATGTAACTGGATTTTGACTGGAATCCAAACTCGGCTCTCCGATTCCTCAATCCAACCCGCTATCTATTACTCCACCGTGCCTTTATATATATATATATATATATATATATATATATATATATATATATATATATATATATATAAATTTTATAATATCGCTCACTGAGTGCTGGTCTTAAAAAATATAGTACTCGATGTAATATAACAGAGCAATAATATAATAAACAGAACTACTATATAATAATAATAATAATAATAATAATAATAATAATAATAATAATAATAATAAAAACAACACATTGAAAGAATCCCTGGAAACCCCAGCTTAAGAGACATACAGAAAATTGTCTTATTAAGTACAGCACACACACTAAGGAGAACTTTGTCTATGTAACGCTAGCAACTTCATCGGAAAAAAAAAAAAAAAAAAAAAAAAAATTAACATGAAATGTGGCCATAACAACACACCACGACCTGCCTTAGGTCTTTCCGCAGACTTGGTAGGTAGTGTGTCCATAGCAGAAATCGAATGATGATGATGATGACAATGATAATAATAATAATAATAATAATAATAATAATAATAATAATAAATATACATTTTTCTCATCGGTATCTTGTATGTTTAAGTAGGCAGCGGATGGTAATATGTATTCGTAATTGTGTATGTCTGTCTCTCTAATGGGAGTTCTAATATCATCTTTACCTTTGTGCACTCAGACAGTGCAGAGAAGTGTTACATCATTCTAATTAATTGCTGATTGTTTTAAACATGTATTCCTTGTATTAGATATAAGTTAGATTATTTAAGAATGGTTTCAAAGAAAAATGGCGATGTAATGTAATGTTTTAGGCGCGTCTTTATTGTTGTTATTAAATTTTGAGTGTATGTTCTCCTGAAAAGTTTATGTTCTTTTTTTTTAAATTAGGGTTGTATTAGTGAAATAAATGTCCAGCATTGTTTCGATGCAAAACTAGAGAGTTAAATAGTTTGTTCAAACTCAAGTCTCTCTTGTGTTCGTAGATTCGAACTTTTAGATCACGTGATGTCTCCTTCGCATAAACATTTTTGCATTGTAAACAATTTATTTGATGAATCCCAGCATTTGAATTGGTGTTCGGTTTATTTTTCTTCCTAATTATATCTCCGATTGTCTTGGAGTTGGTGGTAACGATCCTAATATTAGGGATCACTAATTTGTACCAAGGCACGGTGGAGTAATGGAAAGCGGCTCGGATTGAGGAATCGGAGAGCCGAGTTCGAATTCCAGTCGAATCCATTACATTCACTTACTTGCTAATATCCTTGGGAAATGTATGAATCCTCTTCTTCTCCCCAAGATTCTGTAGCCTACCACAGAATAAAAATTGCTACCTACTGCAGGAAAAAGATACATGATCAAGTGTGTATCTTGCATGACACACAACTGACTGACTTTCCGGTCGAATCCATTACATTCACGTACGTGCCAATATCCGTGGGAAAGGTATGAATCCTTTTCTTCTCCATCCATTGTCAGCTTTAGATAAATAGCAGGACAGACCGGGTTCTATATGCTTCGATGGCAACAGATCTACTAACTTGAATGGCAACCTATTGAAGAAAAAACATAACGCATAATTTCCAAACGAATCCATTAGATTCACTTACGACTTATACCCTTGCAAAAGGTATGAATCCTCTTCTTCTCCCCCCAGCTATGGGCAAATAGCAGGACAGACCGGGTTCTATAGCTTTGGATAGCAGAAAGAAATGCCTTGAAAGATACATGATCGGCTAAGAGTGTATCACGCATGGCACATAACTGATTGAATTTGTTTGAGTTTAGTAGAAAGAGTTTTGTGGCAGGATTGTGAATTTTGGGTAATTTTTTTTAGAGGTGTTATTGGTGGTGCCTGTTCTTTTGGCTTTGTGGATTTTGTATACACGTTTGAGAAAATGAAGTTGGTAGGGGCGAACTTTGAAAGTTTTCTCACTCTCTCTTAGGTATTCCAGGCTTTCGGACGCAGAGCGGGGATATTTATATAAAATGAATATTTCTAATCATGAGACTCATTAACTCGGCACATGCAACGTAATCTTCTCAGTCTAATGAAATTCACTGCTAGATTCCAGCAGTATATATTCGGCGAACCTAATTCGTAGAATGAGCAGTAATATTATCGATAGATGCATTCAACTCTGCATTTATTCAGCTCTTGTTTTCCACGAGTGTATATGTGTACGTGTGTCGGTACAGATTTGTTCGCGGGAAACCTTTTGCCTTTTGGTACATACCCAGAGCAAGGAACGAACATGACTTTCAAACTATTACCGATTCTCTGGATGCAGCAGCAGAGACACTTCTAGCCAATATCTGTGAAAATATCGAGTCAGATCATAACCATTGTCGATACCCCTTTGTTTATGCAAGGAGATCGTTACGAGTTCAAGTCTCGGTGGACATCTTGGGTTGTTTTAAGATATAAGCTCTTCTTTGTTATACAAAAAAAATACAAGTAGCCTAAATTAACGCTAAATACATCTTTTAAGGATTTCACATCAAGCAAAGCAGGAGTGTCACTAGCATGCAAGGGGTTACAGAGAGTGAGATCAAGAGTAAAGAGAGGTGTTTGCGGATATAGAGAAGGACGGGGTTCAGGATCAAGCCATCAAAAGATGTCGATTGACATTACATTTAAATATTTGAAGATTATAGCCATCAGGGAAGCATGTAGGTGGAAAGGAGTTCCACTGTTGCGAAGTGCGAGGGAAGAAATTGTTGGAGTAGAAGAGGCGGTTACATTTAACTGTTTCTATGGTGAAAGGGTGGGACTGAGATGCTAACCTAGTAGCACGCTTAAATTAATGAAGTTGGGGATCCAGTGACAGAAGCTCGTTAGAGGAGCCATGAAAATATATGTAGAAAAGACAGAGGGAAGCTACATTACGTCTGTGAGAAAGTGACTGCAGACGAGATGCCAGATCAGGACGTATTATATTGCATATTCGAGTTTGTCGATGACCTCGAGATGAACATCGCGGGCACCAGACCATATATTGCAACAGTATTCAATGCAAGGATTAATGGCAGATTTGTAGATTTGAAGAATGGACTCAAGCGAGAAAAAAACCTTCTGGCGCGGCACAGACAGAGAACTAACTTGCCTTACGGTATTTGAAGCTATTGATTCAATGTAGTCGTTCCACCTCAGGTCAGTGGAAAGCGTGAGACTAAGAAAGCGCTCACGTGTTGGGCATCAGATCAGCATGCACGTGTCTCTACACGCACTTTCGTTTGCCTCATAATTTATTGGAATATACAGGGTGTCCATAAAGTTCGCGTGCACTTTAAAAAATTTATAACTTTATTTGCATTTGCGATAGTGATAATTTGTAAAAATGATCAGAAAGAAGTAAATGTATATTTTTTAAGGTTCTATTGAAATCTTATTTAAGTTTCCACGTGTCCTCCATCATTAGCAATACAAAGGGCAATACGATTTTGCAGTTCACGGAAAACATTTGCCAACTGATTTACAGTAATGCCTGAAACCACATTAGTTATTTTAGCTTTCAAATCTTCTAATGAACTAGGTTTGGTTGCATGAACAATTGTTTGCACATGTTTGCATAAAAAAATCTAATGGAGTCAAATCTGGCGAACGTGGAGGCCAATAAAATGGTCCACACCTTCCGATCATTCTGTTAGGAAATTCCTGATTTAGAAACTCTCTAACACGCAGAGCAAAGTGACAAGGAGCTCCATCTTGTTGAAACACTGAACATCTTTACAATTTAATTGTTCAAGCTGCGGAATAAAGTAATTCTGCAGCATATCTAAATAGCTGTCACTGTTAATAACACGATATTGAAAAAATATGACCCTATGATCCGATTTTTTTCCCAAAGCACACCAAACATTAACTTTAAGAGAGTCCCTTTCATGTTCAACAGTTTAATTTCGGTTTTCAGTTCCCCAAATTCGGCAATTGTGCCTGCTGACCTTGCAACTAATGAGAAATGTTGCTTCATCAGAGAACAATAAACTTCTCAGAAATGCATCATCATTGCCAAATTTTTCATTGAATTGATGACAGAATGTTAGCCGTGCATAATAATCCTCTTCTAACAACTGTTGATGTAATTGAATTTTGTAAGCTTTCATGTGAAGTTTTGCCCACAGAATCTTATGCACGCTAGACTTTGGGAGCCTCAGCTCTAATGATGCATGTCTTACAGAATTTCTTGGACTTGCTGTAAAGGATTTTTCTATGGATGAAACATTTTCGTCGCTGATACATGGCCTTCCAGACCGTGGCTTATTATGGACGAAGCCTGTCTCTTTAAATTTGTTCATCCATTTAGCAATAGTGTTCCTATGAGGTGGTTCTTTATTGTATTCAATTCTAAACTTTCTTTGTGCAGCAATAGTAGATTTCAGTTCAGCCAACCAAAGAACACAGTTTATTTTTTCCTCAGTTGAAGCCATGGATCAAATTGATTCTGGAAAAAAGAAAATATTTGTATACTTATCTAAAAATTATTGCAAATTTTGTGGTAAAGAATCATTCAATAACTATACTTAAATCTAGGTACATTAAACTTTTCTACTGCAAATACAAATAAAGTTATAAATTTTTTAAAGTGCACAAGAACTTTATGGACACCCTGTATGCAATTATAAGCAATATGCAGTATTTCGTGAAAAGTCCCCTGTAAAATTTGGGCCTAAAACTTATATTCAGAGATTTGATTTTGTTTTTTTTTTAATTGGGAACACTAAATACATAGCCGTATTTTATTTTACAGGATCTCTCTATACACATCGGTAAAAATTGCAGATTTTCAAGAAATTAAATTTTCAACATTTATTGAATTGGAATTTTAACAAAGTGTGTAAAATTACTCTCTGGTGAAGTTTGTAAAACGTTTAATTATCATCTCTTAGTTGCATCTTTGGGCAGAGTGCGCTTAGAGGCGGCTCCATCAAAGGACATAGTCGCAACTGAGGTGAATTATACTGAGAGGTGTCCATCCCGGGGCAACAGCTGTCTAACGTCGCGCCACCTCGTTGCACCAAAGAGAAAAGATAATAATTCACTTTAAAGAGAATGCATTGAAAGTCTACTGCCCTCTATATGAGTACATGTATACAAAAAAGAGCCATAATATATCTACATGCCTGCGTGGGTGGGTGTGTATGTAATGTATGTACCGATACACACAAACACACATACATAGAGTGCGATGAATAAATTGTCGTCTAAATGACACAAAAATGAAACTAACACTGACATCTCATTTTAACAGATCTAAAGAGTGCGATGGATATACTGTCGTCGAATTGACGCAAAAATGAAAATAACAGACATCTCATTTTAAAAGATATGCAGAATGCGATGGATAAATTGTCGTATAAATACCGCCAAATGAAAATAACGCTGACATCTCATTTTAACAGATACATTTACCATAATTACATAAAAAATATCTTGAAATATTAAAGAGTAAATTTAACCAATAAAACCGTCATTGACTATAACGACGGCCCCCAGACGACCACAGAAACTTTTGCATCTCTTCTGGACTGTGTCACTGTTTAAGCTGGTCAGTGTTGTTCATCTTCAGTTCATCTTTGGTGTTACAAGGAGTTGTGTTGGCCAGCTTCGCCCCACGCGTAATAATCAACGGGGTTGCAGTCTGAGGAGTTAGATGGTCAGATGTAAGGGGTGATTTGGTCGCAGAAATTGTCTGAAAACCAAAACTGGATTCTCTTGCTTGTGTGACATTGTGCAGAGTCCTGTTGCCAACCATAGGGTCTTCCAGCAGCCACCTTCAGACACCTTCTAATATATTTTCCATTTATTCATCCAATTATCGCCCTCTCTGTCTGTCTATCTGTCAGTCTGTCTCTCTCTCTCTCTCTATATATATATATATATATATATATATACATAAACATATGAATTTTCTGAGTTGAGCTAGATAAATATGAACATAGATGCATACATCATACATTTGATGTACTTCCTTTTGTACTTCCTTTTCAAAATCCCATATATGTTTAGAAGAGTTGTGCTGTTTATATATATATATATATATATATATATATATATATATATATATGTGTGTGTGTGTGTGTATATATATATATATATATATATATATATATATATATATATATATATATATATATAAATGATGTTTCCAGTGACCTTCTATATATATATTATTTCTTCTTTATATACAGATTTTACAGTAATTTGGTATATTGTTTTGTAGCCAATTGTCAGCAAGGGACATTTCTGTTTAAATTTGAAGTTGGTGGGCTTGATTTTTGTCGGTGGTTTGTTGTTTACTTTTTCTGTTGTGCCTTTTTTGTTATTCGTGTCATGTCCTGGGCGCAAATCCAGCTAATTTTTACCGTGGGTCTGTCAAGAAATCTTCTTGATGCATCGAATGCACGGATCGTCATAACACTCTCCCTCCAATCTTCACAATTGAGAGAAGTTCTTGAAGTGTTATAACAGAGCAAAACAGATAAGGCTTCTCTGATGCACGCACATACGCACTGATACACACACACACAATATATATATATATATATATATATATATATATATATAGATAGATAGATAGATAGATAGCTGAATATAGGTGGCTAAATCAAATAACTAGATTTTAGCAAACGTATGCG